GCTTATATAATCTTTATTTATTTCTTCATTTAATAAAATGTAATAATAATTAACGATATTCCTAAATGTAATAAATAATATATAATAATGATCGAAAAATTAGAAAATTGAAATCGTTTAAACTAATGTTATAAAAAAAAAAAGAAAAAAAAATCAATTATCATCTTCGACATACGGTAATTTTTACATAGTAACAATTTTCAAAATATTCAAACCGACCGTTCCATTTTTATCTTTCTCAAAATTCACGCTAGATGGTACTTCGATCTTATCTAGAGAATTACATATATACGAATTAATAATAGTATCATATCGTTTTCTTTTATTGTTCATTATATCAAATAACATGTAACGTTATCGTTAATATTTAATCGTAGCTTAAATTAGTTTTTTTTACTGACGTAAATCGTGAATATAAATTTTCTAACTATAAATAAAATTATACTTTCATAATAAGATTAATATATATATATATATATATACACCTCTTTTATTCCATTATTATATTATCAAGGAAAGTAGTATGAATAATTATAATGCCTAAACGAATTCGAACGTGAACTGATTCCAAAGTACAAAAAATATCATAAAGCTGAGTAATAGGAAAATATTCTAAGTTTTAATTGATAAGACATATACGTCGTTGGAAGGAAACACTCTTTTTTACGATTTCGATTAAAAATTATTAGATAATTGTGTGTGTGCGTGTGTTTTCCTTTTGTCTTTTTTTTTTTTTTTAATCACCGTTTAAAATATTTTTATAAATCAAGGTAATACTTACTACATATTGACTGATATACATTGATCTGTAATAATTTAATTATATCTATTATTTCTATATATTAGATATAATATGGTTATTTCTTGTGTTGATTCTTTGAAAGGAATTGTAAATCATTCCTTTCAAAATAAAGAACCATGGCAGATCGTTTCTATAACTGCTACAACTCTACTTGGAACTATTTGGATATGGAATTTTATTTTCTCCCAAGATAAAAGTAAGTGCTAAGAATATTTTTAACCATATACCATTACTTATTATTACTCAGATTAATAATATAATAATTATATATATTTAATATATATTTTTAGCCATTATGGAAAGAGGAAAAAAGCAGTTTTTTAAATTAGCTCGTTATATACCATCTATTAGAGATAGAATTGATAAAGAACTTTCAGATGTTAATGAATCTTTTGAAAAAGATACAATGCGTAAACTTATGAATACTCCATTTATTGTCGAACTTCCAAAGAATGGTCTAAGTCATGATAAAGTATTATTGAAAGTACAGGAATGTGTAAAAATGGGTAAGATGATTAATAATAAATATATTATCATATTAAAGCATACATTATTAAGAATAATATTAATACAATTGATTTGTTATTTATTATAAGGTGATTATGAATGGAAAAAGGGAAGAGTATCGGGTACAGTTTATAGAAATGATTCTGGTCTTATGTGTTTAATGGCTGATGTTTATAAGATTGCATCATATACCAATCCATTACATCCTGATGTTTTTCCTGGTGTCTGTAAAATGGAAGCAGAGGTTATTAGAATATCTTGTCGTTTGTTCAATGGCGATGAGAATACATGTGGAACTGTAAGTATTTAATTTTTATCTTTTTTTTTTTTTTCACAAAAGAGAAAAATAGAAATATAATAGTATATCATTAATTTTTCAATTAAATTATTTACTAAACTAGATGACAACAGGTGGTACAGAATCGATTATATTAGCTTGTAAAGCTTATAGAGATTATGGTAGAGAATTTAAAGGTATAGAAAGACCAGAAATGATAGTACCAGTAACGGCACATAGTTCATTTGATAAAGCTGCACAGTACTTAAATATAAAAGTACGCACAGTACCTGTCAATTCCCATAGTTATACAGCCTCTATTAAAGCTATGGAAAATGCTATAAATAAAAATACAATAATGGTAGGAATATTTTGTTTTGTTAAAAATTATATTTTTCTTTTCTTTTTTTTTTCTTTTTTTTTTTTTTTTTTTTTTTTTTTTTTTTTTTGTAATTTTTCAATTGATACATCATCAATCTACATTTTAGCTGGTATCTTCAGCACCTAATTTTCCATATGGAACGATGGACAATATTGAGGCAATTTCAAAGCTTGGTGTAAAATATAATATTCCAGTTCATGTTGATGCCTGTTTGGGTGGATTTCTTATTTGCTTTATGTCAGATATAGGATACAATTTACCACCCTTTGATTTTAGATTGCCTGGTGTAACTAGTATATCTGCTGACACACACAAGGTATTTTTTACTTTTTAGCCCTTACAAATAAAATATTTCAATAAATTAAATATTAATAAAGTTTTTAAATAAATGTTAATTATATGTATGATTTATCCGTAGTATGGATATGCACCAAAAGGATCTTCGGTCATACTTTATAGAGAGAAAAAATATAGACATCATCAATATACTATAACAACAGATTGGCCTGGTGGTATTTATGGATCACCAACTATAAATGGTTCTAGATCTGGTGGAATAATAGCCTCGTGTTGGGCCAGTTTAATATATTTCGGATACGATGGATATGTGCAAGCAACGAAAAAAATTATTGAAACTACTAAATACATTGAACAAGAGTATGCATCGATATTATGCAATGATTGAATATAAAATTATTCATTTTTTTCTTTTTTCTTTTTTTTTTTTTTTCATATCATAATGTATATTTTTTATTTCTCACAGATTAAGAAAATTGGATGGAATTTTTATTTTTGGCACACCTGTAACTTCGGTAATTGCATTAGGTTCTAATGACTTTCATATCTATAGATTGTCTGAAGCACTTGGTGCAAAAGGATGGAGTTTAAATCCACTTCAATTCCCTTCTGGTATACATATTTGTATTACGTATGTTCATACAGAACCAGGTATTGCTGATCAATTTTTAAATGACGTTAGAACCGAATTAACAAATATATTAAAAGTTCCTGATCTTCCAATTGAAGGAAAAGTGAGTATTAAATATTACATTATCAATTTGTATAAAATAAAAATATTAATGATAAATATATATATTATATTTTTAAAAGCTTGCAATGTATGGAATGAGTCAAAGCATACCAGATAGAAGTATCGTTAAAGATATTGCAAGATCCTTTTTGGATTCAATATATTACACTGGCAATAACAAACAAACGAACATGCAAGATACATAAAAATAATATATTGTATATTTTCAAAAAAAATTAGTAACAAAATAAAATTTAAGTATCCTTATTGATACATTCTTTTCAGAATTATAAGCAGAAAATGAATAATAAAATTGATACAAACGTTTGTATATTATATATCTATTAAAAAATTTTTATTACATACCTTTATATATTACATATTTTATATGTATATATATATATATATATATGCTTATTATACATAGAATTTCTGTATGCAGCCATTTATGTACATTGAAGTAATTGATATTACTTTGAATATTCCCATTGTTTTTGGTAATTATTAATTTTTCTTATCTCTCTCTCTCTCTCTCTCTCTCTCTCTCTCTCTTTCTTATTTAATTAAATAATGTAGTAAATAACTAATCCATGTAAAAACAATTGTAACTTTTATTTTTTATGTTAATATATATTATTTTAGGTGTTCCTTTTACTCCGTGATATAATTTATTACTTCGTCGAACTATTAACCAGAAGAAATTGCAGAAAATCATGCATAACTCATTGCATACGTGGTTTCTCAATATTAATATGCCCTCGGTATGGCGAATATTTTATGAGAGTCGTGAAAATAGTTATGAGGGCAAATACCGATGTGATCTCGAGAATATCACGTCATTTTTATTCTCTGCTTTTACCAGTCTATAAATCCATCGAATAAAGATAGTTCATATCTTTTCGCACGTCGTTGTAGGATACTTTAAATTTTCAAATATAGAAATCTTTCATAAAAATATGAATACTATAAAAGAAAGTAAACACGAAAGAGATAAGGGCTCCAATATATTCTATATTCAATGAACGCCGATTATTATTCTTACTTTCTTAGAGATATCAACGATTTGTGTCTTTTTCTTTTTCTTTTTTAAAACAAAAATATCAAGGAGATATTAATAGATTTTGAGGAGAAGAAAAAAAAAATTAATTTGAAAAAATTCATCATTAATTTTTGAAGGGTAATAATTTCTAAAAGCAGTACAATAAAGGTATCTAAAAATGTTCTTGAAAAGATTATTATTAAAATGTTAAAGTTAAATATAATACAGTCTAAGAATGATTAATTGGGTCAGAACATTTTAGTATCATTCTCTATCAATTTAAAAACTATACATATAGCATATTGCATTACTTGCTTGTCAGAATGATGCACGAATAATTAATGTCAAGTATTTCATATGCATTAATGCAAATCTACAATCTACAAAAAAGATATAATAATATTAATGTAGAATTGTAATTATAATTTTTTTTTCTTTTTTTTTTTTTTTTTTTTTTTTTTTTTTTTTATATTCAAGGTTCAAACAATTTCTCGTATCTTCTTTAACTGTGACACAATTCTTTATCATTAACAAATAAACACCATATAGTAATTGGTAATTATAATTGGTAATTAAATAACAAATAAACACCATATAGTAATTGGTAATTAATTTCTTTCCTCTTTTTTTTTATTTTTTTTTTTTTTTATATAGAAATATTTGGGATTTATTAGAAAAATATCATTGACGAGAGAAAGCTTTAGTAACATATTTATATTATGCTTTTAGGTATTTTTCTAAAACGACATTATTCATGTGCGAGATATCAAAGTAAACTCAAATTCTGTTTTATATCATCGTTTTTCAACATCGTACGTATTCCCTAGTGAAAAGAATGTAAAGTATATTGCTTGAATTCTTACGCATTTCTTTTAAAGTAAGTAACAGCTTAGGAAGAAAAAAAAATGAGAGAAAAAAAAATATGCAAGAGGAATCTCAGGCGAGTATAAAAAGCAAATAAAAGCAAATAAAAAAACAAAAAAAAAAGAAAAAAAAAGAAGAGCAAAAAGAAAGGAAAATTAAAAGAAAAAAAGTAAACGTAAATTATATTTCTCATTAAGACTGACTTCTTAAGATATAATTTAACCGAGCCATGATAGAACCTCGACAATGCATAGTTTAAAATGAAATGATCATTCTCCTTTAACGTAAATGTCCATGAAAAAAAAAAAAAAAATAATATTCATTAATTTTATCCTCGAGTAATATAATTATATTTCATAGAAATGAAAATGTTAAGCGATTAAATGATATTAAAATGATTATTATACTTGCATAGATTTTGATCGAATATCTTAGTTGCAAATACGAAACAACGATTAAGATTTATTTATTTTATCGTATATGCTTATCGTTCGAGATCATATCTTTGAATTCATCTAAAAAAAATTCTTTTATATATATATATATATATATATATATATATATATATATATCTGCATAAAATTATATATATATTTATATATTTATTCAGAGACGAAGTCGTGTCGTTAAAAATTTCTTAATTGGGATTTAAGTCTGTTCGTCATCTTTTTATTATTCGTGAATTTAAAATTAATTACAATCGATTTAATATGTCCAATAGTAAAATGTTCATTTCTCGAACGGCTAGAAACTACCTTGGCACGATTTTAAACGAAACTACGGTGAATATAAATTATAGAGAGGAAACGCAAACTGTAAACAGAATTCAGTAAGTTAAGAAGAGCCCCTAGGAAAGGTTTACACACGTATAGGCATATATATATATATATATATATATATATATATATATATATATATATATATTCGATCTCGTTAATACATGACGCATACATTCACAAATGCTACAAGTCTTCCAGTTATTTTGGAATATCGCCAATTACTCAAATTTACAATATAAAAATGAACATTTTCTTATCTCATTTATTTAACTTTCTCTCGATATTATTTGTTATTAAAAATTATTTATTTAAATGTTAATTATAATGCTCCTGAAAATAGGCATTACTTTATACATAATAATAACGTTACTTAAGAACGCCATCTATCAATAAGACAATATATTTTTTTCCGATTACATTCTTCTATGCAACGAACGACGTTATCGACTGAACATAGCGTGAAGGGTTGCCGTATTCCCAGGCGCGCTTATAATCAACATTTAAATAAATAATTTTAATTCGTTTAAAGGAAACGATGATCTTCCGGATTAAGGAATTGTATCGGTTTTAAATATTTATTAAGCCATTTAATTTAACAAGATAAAAGATATCAAATGATCTTACATCGATTTTTTTCTTATGATCAATCTGAGCAAAAAGTTTATGAGTGATGTAAGTGATAAGGAAAAACGAGAGGATTATTATTTCATTGTTACGTTATCGTATAACAAGTCATGCATTCTCGAATTTCGTAGGCGTATATATGTATGTATTGTAAAGTTACATTAGCTTTCTCAACGTCATTCTACATGTGTATTACAACGAGAAACCAGTAGGTGTGGAATTTGCACGGGTAGTCACACCACTCGGAGAATTGCCGATGCGGCGAGGAGTGTGTGCACAAGTAATTGAAAATATTCCGATCGGCACCATGTCGACCCAATTCCAGATTGAAACTTCGGACCATCGTTAGGTTAATAATGTACGTAAGAAAGAGAAAAAAAGCGACAGAAAGAGAGAGAAAGAGAAAGAGAAATAAAAAGAGATTTTTCTGTTGATCCCGTTAATATTACTTCGAATATGATCCGTATATCTTTCGAGATTAGAAAGAATTAAATTTAAGATGCAAAGCCGTGATCTATCTACATATATATATATATATATATATATAAAATATCACACATAAAATATAATAAATGCAAAAAAAAAAAAAAAAATAAAAGAAAAAGAAAGAATAATCAAGATATCTCGTCAGATGAAATTCGTTGCAAAAAAAGATTTCATATAGTTTTTACAGATTCTCAAAGAATTTTAATTTTACTGCCAAATACGATCTGGTTAACCTCATATAGAAAAATCGATAATAACACTGCACTCTACTTACAGCAAGGTGTATTAAATCGGTTTGATTCTTTGGCTACTATCGGAAAACGCTCGAATGGCCTTGGCTGTAGTGATATCAAAGGTTGATATATATACATACGTGCGCTCACACATATATATATATATATATATCCCCTACTAGTTTCTAAAAGAAAAAGAGTAAGAGAGGCATAGAAACAGAAACGGTTTTAAGCTTTTCATTCCTTCTACCCAATCGTAGGAGTCAGCCCTATTTCACGGTTTATCGGTGCACGATAAAAGAGGATATCGCCAATCGACGACGTATCTACGAAATAAAGTCATCAGTGTCTTTAAAGCACATTTGATCACACGAAGAAGAATCGTTTCGTTAAGTCGTTACTACGATCCTTCCTTCCTATTCTTATCGACTATTATTTTTTACGTATAATATATATATAATACAATTAAGATATTTCTTTTCATATTGCACGTGACACTCGCAGAGATAACATATTTGCGAATAGGCGTTAATTTCGATATACGTTTATTCCAAAGCCGATTACAAACTGTCATTTCGTTGTTATCTATATTGTTCCATATAGTAGAAATCATTGATAATGGATGCTGCTATATTTTCATTTGATAAATTATAATTTTTAATCGAGAAAAATTTTCTTTTTTTTTTTTTTTGTCCATATCGTATCATTTAATTTCATAATATATTATGATTTATAATAGAATCATTTCATACGAACGATTAATTATCTTGAAATATATTTCTCCGAATATAATCTTAATATTAAATTTATTCCGATAATAATTTGTATTGAGTTTATTATAATATTCACGCAACTTTATCGAATACGTTTAGATAACGACAAACTAAACGGAACTGAATTTCTGTTGATGGGCAGTAACGTGATGCACTGACAGCGTTGAATCTATTGTTTCTATTAGATAATGGATCATTAAACACAATATACGTTTCACTACTTGGTACAACCCACGAAAGCTTCTAGGTAATAACGTTTCTGATTGTGATAGTACTGATTTTGTAAGAATTATTCCTAACACGGCCAATGAACTTTTCAATTTATTTTTCTTAATTGAATTTTTTTTTCTTTTCTTTTCTTTTCTTTTTTCTTTTTTCTTTTATTGAAATATTCAAATACAAAGAATCAATTATTATTGATAATCATTGTTGTTGTTGTTGTTGTTTTTTTTATATTATATTTTCAAAGATCCAAAAAAAAAAAAAAAAAAAAAAAAAAAAAAAGAAAAACAATAATCCGAGATTGGAAATTTTCTTGAACCGCAAACAAAAAAGAAGAAAATTATTGAAAAAAATCACGATGAAAATGATCGTTGTTGTTTTTCTAGTTTTTTTTTCTTTCTTTCCTTCTTTTTTTTTTTTTTTTTTTTTTTTTTAATAATCTCGATAGCAATCATGGAAAGAGAAAGAGATAGAGAGAGAGAGAGACAGAGACAGAGAGAGGAAACAGAGGACCGTTAACCAACGCACCAATGTTTCGTGCAGCGAAGGGTAAATGAAAAAAAAACAAAAAACAAAAAAAACCAAAAAGAAAAAAAAACAAAAAATAAAAAGGAAAAGAAATCGTACAGCACGTTCAATCGACAATTCGAGATTGAATTCTATCGCAAAATGTGAGAGACTGGTCGGAGAAATGGTAGCTCGTCTATACGGATTAAACGAATCTCGATGAAAATATCAGGAAGGTTTGTTCCACAAAACTTTCAACGAAAAGTTCCTGTGCGAAAAAATAATTTCGAGGATAAACGATGAAGAGATTTTTTGTCAATATTTATTAATAAGAAAGATGACGTTTGATGATAAGAAAACAATGCAGTATGCGTTAATGATTTATTATAAAAGAATGAAGAAAAAAGAAAAAAGATAAAAAGATAGAAATATAATTCAATTCAATTTATAATTCAATCATGCAATTATTATTTATTTATAATATTTCAAAATCTAAGTGCTTTATATTTCTATTCTCTTGGAAAAAAAAGAAAAACATAAAAAAACAAAAAACAAAAAAAAAAAAGAGAAAAAATGAAAAAAAAAAAAATCATATCTTATCTTACATATCTTATAAATAAGAAATCCAACGGTGTGAAATAAAAAAGTATGTCTATCCAAAAACTGACGGGAGGTATAAGAAGGATGAGAATATATAAATAAACGTCAACCCGTGAGACCTCAGTTATGTTACCCTTCGAATTAGGCAGTTAACACATAAGAAATATCTTCAAGATTTTATATCAAGTTTTTACTCAGAGAATTTATTTTACATTATTAATTACATTAAAAATTTCACATTAAACGTTCACATAGTTACGGATTTAAAAAAGTATAATTTTATCGAATGATAATTATTATTTGATTACGTTCGAATAATATTATTATTTTATATATGATATTAAATCTTAAATGATAAAAGTATATTAATATCATATCGACGATTTAAATAGATCGATTTATTAAATGTCATCTTGTTAAATATAATGTATAATGTATAAAAATAATTTTTTTCTTATTATTAAAAATTAACGAAATACTATTGAATTTAATTACATTTAATTTCATTTTAACTATCATAAAATATTCATAGACAAAAGGGATTTATCTCTTATGGAACGTGATTAATTCATTAAAAAGTCATAGATTTAATGCGATAGATTTAATTCGTTTGATCGTTTTAACCCATTGATTGTCAACTACGAGATATCTCGTAGTAGGTGCTACAAGTTTAAATGGCTATTTCAATTAAGAATTATTAGAAAGGATGAATGAAAAATATATATAATCTAGAGGACATATTACTTATCAATTTTTATTATATTATATCAATAATTTAATATTATTATATTTTGTAAAAATTTATGTTTTCTTTAAAATAAAACCATGACGTCTAGGGTAAGACGCGTTAAATTTGCGTGGCAATCAATGGGTTA